GAACAAACAAATGACGCATCATCCTCTACAAATGCACCAGAAAAAGCAGATCAAGTGAGAAGAACAACAAACAAAAGTTTCAACAGTTAATTTATATCACTCCTGTGTTTATTATTTGCGTGTATATCATGATCCGCTCAACAGTTGACGAACTTAACAACACTCAGTCCAGCCAAACTAATTTACTTTGATAAAATATCAGATATGCAGATTGCACAAGATCATTGGAAATTAGTCTTATATTATAACATGACAACATATTGGCAGAGTATCAACAATATCGAAAATTACATAACTCATCTGAAAAGTCTATGTCAAGGACAAACAGCGTTTAGCACTATAGCTACTCAATTTGAACATGAAGTGAAGGAGCTAAAACATTTTAATGATATTCGACGTTCTGAACATGGAAGGCGTGTAAAAAGAGTATTAGTTAACGGAGTAGGCTATGTAGGGAACTTACTATTTGGTGTGCTTGACGAACGATTCGCTGAAAAATACAGAAGGGATATTAAATACACACAAAACAACGAAACTCATCTCCTAAGCCTATACAAGGAACACACATCAATCATAGAAGGAGAATACCTTTTGAAACGAAATTAAGACGTCATGAACAAACAATTATACATCATCAACAAACATCTAAAAGAGAGTAAAAATCACATAATAACTAATCAGAACCATGCTTTTCATATCACTGCGACTGCGTTGGCTATAAATGTGGTTATCTCCAATATACACAGAGTACAACAACAGTTACTGGACTTAATAATAGAAGTGAGAAATGGCCTTATGGATACTATCTACTGACTCCAGGAGAGTTCCAGGAACAGTTGAACATTATCTCGGGACATCTTCCACGGCATCAGTGTTTCCCGAAAAGCACAATTTGGGGCTATTCAAGGCTACAATGAATAGGCATTTTTTAGGCAAACGCGTCTCATCGTCGCTTAACATCAGGTGAGATTGTAGCCAAGCGTGTGTCTATTATTTATAAAAAAACCACACAGCGGTATATTCTAGAATTATTTAAGGGCGCTAAATAAACTTATTTCCTTAAAATTTATTTCCTTTTACACAACGGATAACAAAGTATAAATAATACTTAGAACTAGTTATAACATTTGTAACATTATAAACTTGATATCAAATTACAGTACAATTGAGCAAAAGTAGAGGTCCTTGTGAAAAAGTTCGACCAGGGAAGTACTGCCACGGTACTTATAGCAATAATGTGAGTAATTCTGCGTATCCGTTTTGAAGGGTAAGGGTGCTGGTGATATTACAAGCACATGGGACTTGTCGACTTACGTCTCAGAGTAGCGAACGCAGTGCCAGTCACCCTCAAATCTGTGAGGTTTAGAGCTCTGAATGACATTACACCTGCTATGAACTTTGCTTTTTCCTTTTTGCTGCTTTTTGTTGCTTCATCCAATAGTCTGAATCGAACTTAATGTTCCGTTACTGGTACACACACTTACATGGACACACACACATGTATCCAAATCACACACACCCAAACACAGCGCGTGCACATAAAAGAATTATCTCGAAGGTTTTTCTGTTACCGTAACTTATTTATTTATTTATTTTTTCTCTCATACATATAATTTGTGGTTGGTATATGTATACTAAGTAACATATGTTTCATTTGCAAGGGTTGGGGCCTGGTGACTTGTAGCACAGGTGTTAAGCCTATAGCAAGCACCAGCTCCTTCAAAATACTGTTCTAAAATTACTAAGATTGTTTATGTACTTCTTATTTGTTGTTGTATTTTGTGGAGAAATAAAAAGTATTATTATTATTATGAACAGAAGTGTGTCTTACCACCAGGCCCAAAAAAAATCGAAACACGGTAACGCTCATATTACTGCTAGGTGGCAGAAATAGATAAGGCGGCAGTACTTCCCAGAACGAACTCATTTCCCAAAGAGCTCTACCCATAGAGCCATATCTGTCGAAGAATCGTCAACCGATGGGGTGAGCGAGTTCTTGACTGGAGACCACGGCTCGGCAAATGTTGTGTAGCACGCCCTACGAAAGCCTGCAAGCAGGAGAGGATCGAGCGAAATGGCGCGCATTGAAAGAAACCTATGTCCAGCAGTGGACTGCGATACGCTATTGATGACGATGATAATGATGATGATAGAGCTACTCTACTACTACTACTACTATCTCTAATTTTTACGACTTTTAATTTATTAAACAACCTATGACAAATGAAATATATAAGATTGCACTTATTTAAAACTAATATTATTACTATGCATGCACTTGTATTACGCAAACAATGAGCCTATAAATAAATTCACCTAATCGATGCGCTAGCGCAGCGAAGACAATCGATTTACTTCCTCCAAGTAAAAATAGTTATTCTTTTGTCAACGGTATTGAGCGATTTAATAATATTGGCTACTCAACACCGCTTTATTTGAAATTGCAACATGTGACGATATTTTAAAGGGTAAAAAAGTAGAAATTATAGAAATTATTTATTCAATGTAAAGCACAGCACACATACAATTTACAAACAAAACAAAAATATTAAAAATAGAAGAAAGACAGATAAGGGAGACAGGATGTGTGCTGTGCAGCCACTGAATCCGTCATCCACTCAGCTATTGCCGTCTCACGCCGTGTGGTACGACGCTGATTTTCAGTGGATTCGGCGATGATTCGTGCGGCACGGAACACAGTGGACGTCACAAATATACAAATTGAAAATTAAAATTAACAAATATATTTTTTTCTTTGTATGTTACATTTATCCAAACTTTAAATTGTATCAAATTATATATGTCAAAATGTATAAAATATTAAATTTATCGCCCTTAACTAAGTATATAAAATTATAAGTACATATACGAAAGTATCAAAAATATACGAAATACAAAAATTTTATAAGCACTTATAAAACCTGTGAATAAATTATGATAAGCTCACTTTGGGTCCTAACTGAAAGTTTTCCAGCAAATACTGAGTTTGTGACTCTTTTGTTACCGCGGCTGGCACAAAGTATCTTTATATATGTGTGTGTGTGTGTTCTTTTATTGTTTGTGTGAAAAGTTCGTGTTTTAATTTAATTTGGTTTTTTTTTCACATTTTTATAGCTTAAAGGGAAACCCTGTATCGCGGGTGCTTTACTACAAATTACACCCGGGAATCGAACCCGGGACCTCTGCGTAGCAGAACCGTTCGGCCACGAAGGCAGTTGAATGTTTTGTTTTTCTTCTGTGTTGTTTCGTTTTCTTTTTTCTTTTGTGGTGTTAGTCCCTCCACGCTCTCATATTACCTCTTTTCTTAATTCTTTTGGGCTTTTAAATATATCCAATAGGCGTCGTTTAAAATTGAATTGTATGATATTTAACCTGAGATATTACGGTGTACCTCAATATTTGGCGAAGAAATTGTGCTGGAATAACAGAGAGAAGGATCAGACTCGGTCAACGCACTACCCAGTGTTACAATTTCGCTTACAATTTCGTTCCTCGGTGACATAGGGCGCACTATAAGTTTCCGGAACTGGCCACTTACAAAAAACAATATTTAAAAAGAAATTACAACATTTGGAAATGGAACTCTTTGGCTGTAGAATACAGTTTGTTTCATCTGACTGTCACTTGTTTTTACATTGTGGCGTCATTTTAGAAATTGGTTGTCTACATCACCATGGGTTTAACTCGTAAAAATTTTCGTAGTATGATTTTCTACGACTCTAAATGTAATTTAACAGCTCAGCGGAGCTTCGCTCGGCTTTAAACTGCTTTTGGCGATGAAGCACCATGCATGACGACTATTTATAGCTGGTTTGCAGAATTCAAACGTGTTCATGTGAATCTCAGTGACGAATTTCGTGATGATCGCCCGTCCACTGCTGTGAACAACAAAAACATCGATGCTGAACGCCGTATGATCAAAATAGACAGGCATGTGTCATACCATGAGATTCGGGCATCTTTAGACATAGGCATGAGTCAAATACAGTCAATACTACACAAACATTTGGGTGTGAAAAAGCTGTGCTCTCGGTAGATCCCACACAATTTGACTGAGGCTCAAAAAACGAATCGCGTCACTTGGTGCAAATTTTAAATTTTTAAATTAAATTTTTTCCGTACTAATACGGTTCATTTTGCTTGGGTCGAGCGGCAGGACACCTCTCGCGTTCTCAGTGCATGTTTATATAATGGCAATTTTACGAATCTACCTGACTCACGTAACTTCACGTGACCAATTCACATGGTCGTTACTATACTAACATCAGTGCAATACGACCGTATTACGAAGACCGAACATAGCATTTCAATTGTATATTAAAAGTTTAAAGATTTATTTTCAGCCTTATGTTACGTAGTTATAACGGTCAATCATGTTTAATGTTTCCCCCGCTTCCTCGCATTCATTCCTCTGCTCTAAAGCAGCGATTTCAGTTTTAAAGCCATTCAATTTAGTCTAGATGTATTTCGATTCGCGTGCTTTGGCTCAAAGCCAGGCCTTGTAAGCAGTTAGACAGGTTATTTAGATACAGACGTGCAAGCTTGTTTCCAATGTTTACGTTCAAGAAGTTTCGAAAATTGTGTAAAGATTTTCAATATTGGTAATTAAAATTTAAATCCGTGCACCGAAATACTTTTAAATAATTTTAATTGGGAAATTTTTTTAAAAACTTTGAAATAAAAATTCAACTTCTCGTATATAATTAGACATCCAATTTTAAATCGTTTTAACTCATTTAATTAAAAAAATTGTTCTGAGTTTGTCACCTCAACTCCACCTTGTCTATAAATAATTTAATGTAATTTTTGTAATTAAGCAGTTCACTATTCTATTTTTAAAACTATAGTAGTATTGTACAAAAAAAAACGGAATAAAAACATAAACAGAGAATTCAAGAAACCGCCTTTTTTGAAAACAAAATTGAGCCGTTTCTATTCAAACAAGATGATTAGTTAATAAGTAAGGTCATCAATTTATCTTTTATCGGAACCATTGGAAAAGATAAAGCAACATTTCGTGATAATGTAAACAATTCAAAGTTACAAGTGCTCTGCGACCGTGTATGTGAAAATGATTCTATTTATATTTGATTAAATTGGATATAATAAATAAGAAAATGGAGAAGAAAACATGGATCACGCCATTTAAGAAACAGGTGAGTATACATTTTTAGTGATGGTAATTTTATGTCGCCGGCTCCGGAGCTCCTTATCTAAAGGTTTAAAAACTCTTACTTTAAACTTCGACTTAATTAAATATGAAATCACTTATATTTGTTCTGTTGAAAGAAACCAACATTTCGAGTTCTTTACAGACCCCTACCTTTAGTAGGTACCTTTGTAGGTAGAGCCTAGATACTTTATGAAAGATTTCGACCTGGAAAGTAATACTGTCTTAGCTATTTCAGACACAAAGCAATAATGTGAGCATCATTAGAAGTTTTGAAGGGTAAGGGTGCTGGTGAAATTACAGGCACATGGAAAACTTTTCATCTTATGTCTTAGGGTCGTATTCTAGAACTCTACTCAATGCTCAAGTCAGGATTGCACTGGAAACACAAGCACTGGAAATACGACCCTAATGGCAGGGACTTGAGTATGATTTCGAGTGCTTTAAACCATACTCAATTCCTGACTTGAGCATTGAGTAGAGTTCTAGAATACGACCCTTAGAGTGTCGAGTGCAGATGTAGTGCCTCTCAAATATTTACTTAATTTATAATTTTAGGTTAAATGCATAAAAAATTATATATAAATTTACACGGACAGCCATTAAATTTTAACTTATTACTAGTTGTTACTAAAGGTATGTTATTACTTTGTGTACACTCCGCAAATTAGCTTGGTGCAGCAAGCGAACAATCAGCTAGGTGAAAACTGAAAATCAGCCATGCTGAGTCTTTAACCTTTTTGTCCACATCACTCAATTGTTTTGTTTTCTATTCGTTTTTTAAGTATTGTATTTCTTGTGTTTTGTGGAGAAATAAATACCTTTTTATTTTTAACCGACTTCAAAAAAGGAGGAGGTTCTCAATTCGACTGTATGTTCTTTTTTTTTCTTTTTTGTATGTATGTTACGCGATAACTCCGGTATTTGTGAACCGATTTTCATGATTCTTTTTTTGTTGGAAAGGGGGTAATTCCATAGTGGTCCCATTTTATTTTGAAGAAAATCAACCACCTCAAAGGGTGGCTGTTCACGCATGAAGAAACATTTTTATAAATAGCGCCTGACTATAAATTAGGAGCAATTACTTTTAGCAATTATTTAGTTGATTTTGCTATTTCTCCAATTCAAGGCGTTTTTCCCTCGATATACTTTGAGTAGTGTCGTAGTGAGAACCTATTTTTATTATCTCCAGTATCAAGTCCTGTGTAGTGGCGAACTAGGGGATATTTCAATGAAACTTAGCAAATAGACGTAATTCCACGTACTTTTGAGGTCGGTTTTTTTAGTAATCTCTGTGAGATTATTATTATAAATATTTTATATCTTTGGGATTTAAAGCACTGGGTGGGCATTGCAACTGTCGAATGTCGCTTACCAACAGGCGCACGACTAGTTCCTCCCATCACTTGGGATTATAAAAAAAGGTCATATGGTCGCGGCTGATTAATTGAAACCGCTTTCCATTCTCTGCCCTTGCCAGGTTAACCCCTGATATGCTGAGGCTTCCTCATGTTATTCCACCAAAGTTTAACAAACAACTGTGTTCTAGTAATTTTAAATAATTTCAAAAGAGAGTGAAAAAACTATACACAGGGTATCCCAAGGCTTATACGACACGGAAGGAAATTATTTTAAATACTGTAGATACGTAGTATAATAAGGGCAAGTAGGGCAACTATAGCCTGTTTACATCAAATGCCAACACCAGGCCGTAGCGTAGGCTTGTTACATTATTATTTTAGTTGTAAACATGATTTGAAAAAACCAGTTTCAGTATTTTCGTGCTATACAGAAATATCCTTTTCACATCACTAGCACGGAAAAACTTTCTTTCTCATTACAAACCTCCCCGCAAAAGCGTAAAGTTTTTGAAATTCGAAGTTGACGATGGACTGTAGTGTACCTAACTTTTTCTTTCGATGAAAAACGAAGTCCCTTTGAGCAGACTCCGACTTTTCGTGATATATCCACACCGATAGCCGGCTATCTCCAGCTACTTGGAATGGACCTGTTGTCGAATTTGAACTTCGGCAGACACATTGAATCCATGGCCAAAAATGCAGCAAGGAAGCTTTGCATCCTTTCCAGGGTGCCAACTTTACACCGGGACAGTTGCTCCAGCTGTACCAGGCACAAATCCAGTCTACTATTTGATGTCATTTTATTAAGGCGATTATCCGGAAGAGTAGCGGGAAAAACTGTATTACTAGAAGAAATGGTTTAGGTATTTACTATTAAACATCAGTCTTGTAAAAATATAATTAATTTTGGTGAAATTACACGCACATGGGACTTGTTAACTTATGTCCCAGGATGACGGGCGCAGGGGCGGTGCAACACAGATTTGCGACTTAAAACTCTGCGTGGAGTGCGTGCGAGTGAGTGTATGCCAGTGCCTGCAAGTGCAAGATCGTGCTAGTGCCTGCGAGATCATTCGAATGCTTTCGAGTGTCTAAGACTGCCCCAGACAAGCGCTCGCAGGCACTCGCACACATTCTGGAAGGCACTCGAAGGCACAGAAGTAGCGTCCGTGCTTCCATCCCGACGATCACATAATTATGCTAGCAGGCATTCGTCTACATGGAGTTGTATTTTATGGACTTCACGCATGCAGTTCGTTTAGTAGCAGCCTAAACAGATCTTGTCTTTCGTCGACAACAAAAACGATCGACAGTCGACAGTAACGATCGACAAAATCGACCGAATCTGTCGGTACCTACATTAACGCCATGCACAACACTGTTTCGTATCGCTGCGACACACTTCGTAACACTGCGACGTCGCATTCGGACTACGTCTCATTCCCGTCGCGTATAAATATAAAGAAAAAGATAAATTCATTTATATATATCTTAATCTAATACAATACAAGAAAAATAAAAATGCAAATAAAGCTATTATAGTATTACAATAAGCATTAAGAAGAGAACCTAATTATGCAACTGTCATAATAAAGTTATTGTTGCACATCCGTAGAGACGTGGCTAGCTCCCTGGAATGCTTAAAAAAAGAGACTGACCCGCGGCACCCATTGCACCATCATGTGCCGGTAATCCAGAGGCTAAAGAGTCACCATAGCTTCATTAAAGAAGTACACCCTTTGGACGGAGAAACTAAGTAGGCCCGAATAAGGTCTCTGGAAGGAGAGATACCCCACGGCGTCACTCATCCCGCTGTCGGAATACCTCCCTCCTGGGCATGATCTACCTTGGCAAACTTGGAAGTCCCTATATAGACTGCAGACCCAAGTCGACCGAAGCAAGGAGCGCATGTGTTACAGCTCGGAGAGCGTATGTCCGTGTCTCTCCCCAGACAATGGCACATCTTTTGTCCTGCCCTGCGTGTCCCTACACCTACACACGCGAAGACCTGTACAACGCCACTGATAATGCTATCGCAGTCGCTAAGTACTCGTCCTTACAAATATAAACGGCAGAGTCGACACGCCAAGAAGAAGATAGTAAAGCTATACATTTTAATATTAGAACCTAATGTGAAATTGCGATACCTAAACTAAGTAAATGTGTACCTGTACTAATACAGTACCTGTATACTTGAATACTACGTTTTTATATGTAACGATATTAACTATAGTTCCCAGTAAAAATCACGTTACATATGCTGCGACCTTCTATGGTATTGACACGTATGTTGACACATCAAAGGTATGTCGTCAGACGACTATATAAAACAGTTTGCACAGGTGTATGTTTTATACTGTAAAGTTTAATAAAAGTCGTGCTCGCAAAAAGTATGTTCTCATTAAGCATTTAAGGCCCATTTAGATGGAGAGAGTTTACCGCACGCAATAATCGTGAAGTCCATACTTTACCATCGTAAGCAATAATCGCTGTAAGGTTATCGTATCATAATGTTTACCTAGGTAAGAACTAAAATCATTCATCACAGATTCGCGTTTGCACAGCGAAATATAATAATAATAACATCGACAATCTTAATGACGACGGCGACGACGAGGTTCGAATCGACCGCACGTGTTTTATTGTCGTTCATAAAATTGTACTTTGTCGGCGCATGCATTTCCTGTCTCTAGTAGCCAATCACAGGTGCACAACGAACAAAAGAAACTGTATTTCCCACTTCTTAGCCGCTCACGCGATACATGCAGCCGTAGACGCATACCACACCTAGAGGTGCCGGTGATGATTTTATACCGATTTATCGGATATCGAAGTTATAACAGGTAAAAGAACTAATATTAATTGCTATTTCGGTAACTACTCTAGCAAACCATAAAATTTTTAATGCCTGGGTCTGTCATTTAAAAAATAAACAACTTCAAAAATACGTCACGACTATCGTGTGTGTTATTGTTTGGGCTGGTGATTTCGGTGTTTATTTATTGAAAACATACCGTAAGTAGCGTTTTTTAAGTTTACCCTGAATATAAATGTTTATAAACTATACTTTAAGGAGTAATTTCATGGTAAACGTTAGAACCACTCAAACGGAATATTATCATATTTATCCATGTACACCAAAAATTTCATTAGTGCTTTTTAAGTGCAGGATTGGCGGTGTATTAGTGCATTTTATTTGAGATGTTTTTGTTGGTAGTACGGAGGGTATTTATTTAGCAATGCAGAATAATAATTTTTATTTGTAAAAACTTGTATTTAAACTGAATCCTTTTCTATTTTGCGAAACCAAATAGCCGCCATTTTGCGGTAGGAGGAGCGCATCGCGTGTACCACGGGACGCACTAACCAGTGCGTCCCGTGGTACATACATACCTTTTGTTTCGGTAATAAAGGTTAATCTAATGCAAGAAAGTAGAGAAAGTGAGCAAGATTCAGAAACTTCCGACCTTCTGTCAGGCGTAGAAAAAGAAATTCAATCGGTAGAAGAAACAATCGGTTCGAGTTCGCGTGATGAATATGTGCCAGAAATAGGTACATATTTCACGGGGCGTGATAAAATAACAAAGCGTAGAAAGTGCAACAACAACAGGATGATACTCCAAGATCAAAATATTCTCACCGAAGGCCCGAGAAACGGCGAGTGACGCAAGGGTTACAACTCTATAAAACCCTGGGATTTATTTATTAGCGAAGAAATTATTGAAGAGATCATCGTACGCACGAATGAACTACTAATGAATTGCGGCAAGACAACTGATCCTGTCGAAATCTGAGCTCTATTCGGATTACTATATATTGCAGGCCAAATGCCTATCATAATCACTTTTAGGGACAAACATTTGCAGAAGAATCATCGTCGGTTCGATAGCATAAGCTCACGGAATCTTTCGAGATTGAACGCGGTGTCCGTTAGGAGAAATTGTTCATAACGGCCCTTGAAAACTTATTTAGAAATCTAAATTGGAAAGACAGGGGACTAAGTATTACCCCAGAAAGGTTGAACAATCTAAAATTCGCGAATGACATACTTCTCCTGTCTGACTAAAACTGAACATCTCAAAAACAAAAATTATGTCCAACATTTCAGTACTAAGATTTCATCAGACGCCTGTTAATGTTGTTGATCACTACATTTATCTAGGACACAAAATTACTTTGGGCCTACTAAACCAAACGGCGGAGGTCGATAGGCGCATAGCACAAGCTTGGTCAGCTTTTGGCGCAAACCAGCAAATATTGCGATGCAAACACATATCACAGAGGCTAAAGACCAACCAGTATGCCATAGTAGTATTCACCTATGGTATGGAAACAACGACTCTGACGAAGAAGTCCGCAGATAACTTACGAATTGCACAGAGAGCAATGGAAAGAGCAATATTAGGAATAACATTGCTCAGTCGTATACCGATTGAGCGTATTCGACGTATAAATAAAGTCGGCGACGTTGTACGCAAAATTGAGACGGTGAAATGGAAATGGGCAGGACACATAGCTAGGATGGATCCAGATCGGTGGACAAGGAGGATCATGGAATGGCGACCATGGGCCAACACGCGCTGCAGAGGTCGTCTGTGGCGGACGTTCGTTGTGTGGATGACATTAAAATTTTCGCGGGCCGCAACTGGATGCATGTGGCACGGAAGCGACATAAATGGAGAGATATGACGCAGGCCGATCTCCGAAGACGGATAGAGTAGAGGCTGCTTGATGATGATATATTACAAGAACTTTGCGAATGTCGCATTCGTATTTAGAAGACTTGTACGCTATTGATGGCACAGGCGTATCAATCTTCCCAACAACCATGCCGCTAAAAAGAACTAAACTTGTTGCGGTTTGACGATGCGACTACACGGGCATCTCGTCGTGCTCAGGACAAACCTGAGCCATTATGGAATATTTTCATGATAAAAAACGTTGTTGACTTATAACTTGGTTTCACCAAGCTTTTTGATTTCATAATGTTGACTGTATTTGTGTACAAGTAAGATTTGTCTTGCCAAGTTGTTTTTGTTCAAAGAAGAATGAGTATGTTTTATAATTTTATTTTTTCTCGATTTAAGTAATTTGTTACAACCAAATTGTTTCCAAACCTAAATATTGTATGACAATGTGTCTAAACGTAAAAAAAATAAATGAATACATAATTAATTGGTCATTTAAATCTCTACTATTTCCAATAAGATTACGCGAGACTTCTGCCGTTTTCGATGACTGCGCGCCCGCTTGAAGTTTAGGGGGCAATATATAAATAGGTACTCTTCTTTAATAAGATTCCGGTTGATATTCAAAATTTGCCATTCACGAGGTTTAAACAAAAATTGTATACTTAATGTTAACAGCTATTACACTGCCTCCGTGGCCGAACGGTTACCATGCCGCACTGCCACGCATAGGTCCCAGGTTCGATTCCCGGGCCGGGAGAAATATTTGTATGGCCTACATTTATTTATCTCGTAAGTTTGGGTGTAATTTGTGGTTGTATTATTATTATAGCTTCTGCGACGACAAAAATCCGTTGTATTGACCCGCTTAGCTCTTGCGGGTTGTCTCGATGTATGATGTTTAAAATGTACAGGTGTGTTTGTAAAATACTAACAATCTCGCAGCAACAACAATTTTTGTTCAGTGACTTAATAATTCATTACATTTTACTTTCATTTTATGTCTGGCAGGCATTGACTTACAATTATATGGACGTCGGGTCCGCGCTAAAAAGTGTCCGAACTTATAGGGCGTTAAAATCGTATACAGAGCGTCATTCACGCTTTAGTCTTCGTTTGTTCGACTGACAGCGAAGCAAGCAAAATTAGACAGTACTGCGATGACATTACAATTTAAATTCAACGTTGTAGCTTTTTCATATTCCTTTACATGTCACTACGTTTAAATAGGTTGACTTGGGACATTTCTTTCGTGGTTTTTATATTAGACCCGTCGTCCATTTATTTGTAAGTCAATGTGTCAAAGTGTAATTTTTGGTAAATATTTAGTACATTATTTGCAAAGAGTATGTGTTAGAAGAACGCCAGCGAGGCATTTTATTAATACGAGTCAAGCAATCCCAGTTCCTGCCGAGGCATACCTGTATAAAGTTTTCTCAAATAATGTGGGGAAATAATAAAAGACTAAAGATAGGAAGATGTATAACAGAAAAAGTCAAAAAAGTAAGGCACATTAATAGTAGTCTGTTGAACTTCTGATGATGTCTGTGAAACGGTATTACTGTATTTTCGTTATCGCTCTTCTGACTAGCACTCATTTTCGTGACCAAAATACAAAAAAGACGAAAAAACAAAAGAATACCAAAACATTTTTTAAATGTTACCGTCACTGACCTACCAATAGGTCAATAGTTACCGCCATTTTTAATTCTCGCGGCTATGAACACTGGGCAGTTGGCTGTAAGAGTGTTTCTTTTGCCTGTTAACATAGTTCATTATTAGTAGGTAGATTTAAAAGTTTAGAAAAGAGGACAGCAGGGTTTTCATATTTATTTTACAGGCCTTAGCCGGAAAGAAGTCGCATGCTCCTTATTAGACAAACTTTCCGTGTTAGTTTTTTGAAAGTAATGCAAAAAATTTGAGAAAATTATGTTTTGTGGAAAAGTCATGAAACAAAGTTATTGTTTAAAAAGTTAGTAATGTATTCCTGCAAATAATCCTGTATATTGTAATATATTAATGAGTATAAATGTTTATTTATAAAAAGCAACCCCTTGAGTTTCTCGCTCATTCTTTTTAGGGGAATCTACTTTACGAATGAGCAGTAGAGTTTAATTTCAACTGCAATTTGCTTACCTATGAAATACAGATATTTTGACTTAGACTTAGAAAAAGCTTTACAATTACCTAAACAGTAATTTTCTTTTGGTTGCAAGTGCTTCGTAACAGCCGGCGTGTGCCTAAACATGGCGGGTCACGGTATCGTTATAGGGTTCGCCGCCATCCTGCTGCCGCAGCTGAAGAAGCCCGGGTCCCTGATCCCCATTGACGACTCCTCGGGTTCTTGGATTGGTGAGTTTATGCTTTCACCTTTGACAATATTAGTTAGCGCCGCTAAGAAGTGAGGAACTTCCCTTTTGTGAATTCTGGAATATTTTACATCTTTTATGTATGGAAAATTGTTTTTTATTACATTTTAAACATTGACTTACAAATAAATGGACGACGGGTCTAATACAAAAACCACGAAAAAAATGTCCCAAGTCAACCTATTTAAACGTAGTGACATGTAAAGGAGTATGAAAACGCTAAAACGTTGAATTTAAATTGTAATGTCATCGCAGTACTGTCTAATTTTGCTTGCTTCGCTGTCAGTCGAACAAACGAAGACTAAAGCGTAAATGACGCTCTGTATACGATTTTAACGCCCTATAAGTTCGGACACTTTTTAGCGCGGACCCTACGTCCATATAATTGTAAGTCAATGATTTTGAAAGACTATTTACAAGTCTAATAAGTTTTTCATCACCGTCCGATAGCTAATATTTTACTTATCCAATAATATCTATTAACTTTCTTTTGCAGCATCCATTCCAGGATTCGCTCTGGTGGCAGGCAACTTCATCGTCTCGACAATCATGGCCAAATGTGGTCGACGGACGGCCAATCTCATCTCGATCATACCCATGCTCGTTGGATGGTTCTGCATACTAACAGCTAACAGTATTCCTTTACTGTTAGTTGCCAGATTTCTTCAAGGACTATCTATGGGAATATCTTGTTCGTTAGGACCGGTTTTAATTGGAGAATATACAAGTCCACGCAATCGTGGAGCTTTCTTGACAATGATATCTCTGAGTATCGCTACAGGAGTTCTAATAGTTCATACAATGGGATCTTATTTATCATGGCAAACGACTGCCTTAGTGTGTGCTTTCATAGCATTTATTGATTTGATTATTGTGATCTATTCACCAGAATCGCCAAGTTTTTTGGCTGATCAGGGGAGATATGAGGAATGTAAAACGATTTTTAGATGGCTAAGAGGAGATAACGAAGAAGAAGAATTACAGAGAATGATAGAAGCAGCTATCATTGTTCGAGAAGCTAAATTAGAAGTTAATATTGATCAATCAATTGGCAAGAAAATACGTAACGGTGTCTCGTATTTTCGAGCTGCGATTAAGAAGAAGGAGTTCTATAAACCTATCCTTATAATGATCCATATTTATACACTAGGGCAATGGGCAGGAGCTACCATTTTAGCTTCATACACAATAGATATATTCCACAATGTGATTGGTCCAGACGTCAATGTTGCGTTGATGATCATAACATTAGATACGCAGAGAATAATTTCAAATGCTTGTGCAGTTTTTGTTATTAGAAAAGTTAAGAGGCGTACAATGTTGTTTGTTACTGTTGGTATAAATCTGTTTGCTTTCTTAGCTACAGCCGCGTATACCTATGCTAAAACACATGGAATGTTGCCGTTTGACCATCCTCTAATAGGTTTAGCATTGATACACGTCCACATGTTTTCAATAGCTACCGGTACAGTACCTTTGCCATTTATAATAGCAGGTGAATTATTCCCATTGGAGTACAGAAGTTTGGCTGGAGGTATAAGCGTGTTATTTTTGTCAACAAATTTATTTATAATAGTGAAAACTGTACTTTTCCTTTTTAATACTGTAGGCGTACACGGTGCATACTGTATTTATGCCGGAATAGTTACATATTGTTTGTTTATAGCTTGGAAGTTCTTGCCAGAGACAAAAGATAGAACTTTGCAGGATATTGAAGACGAGTTTCGAGGCAGACCGTTGTCTCCTGAGGAGTTACAATCAATGGAGTCGTTGACGTCCTGGAAATTGAAAAGTAGAGATAGACGATGCAGTAGTCTCGTTATTTGAAAATTATCGAATATTTTTATTATGTAACAAAGAATATATGGCTTCTAAGTTTTGACATAGATTTAAAGAAATCGTGGAATACGAAGCAAAGACACAAATGTACAAAATTATAAGTGAAATTAGATAATATAAGTAAATAGTAATTATAAAGGTGGCTTCCCACGGCCCGTGATTTTACTAGCAGCGTCGCGCCACGCCTATTAGCACGAGCGTACTCGCGCCACAGGCCCATACCAGAGAATAAAGAATAAGAGAACGAACACTCTCCGCCCCTCCCCAGTTTTAGATACCGCACCACGCCCCACACATTCCCGGTCACATTGCCTGAACGACAATAAGGCTGCCGGCGAGCCGTTTTCGCGCAAAGACGGCTTTGATATTTGAATATAGTTTTCATTTATTCATTACGAAACTTGTACGTTAATATAAAACATTATTTTACGTTACTATTTATAATGGTCGTGAATTGTGCTGTGTACGGCTGTTTACCATCATTTTCCGAAAGATGAAACGAAGTAAGTAAAAAAAAGTTATGTCTGAGACTTATTCAGTTATTGTTTTCTTCATTTATTTACTACAGAACAATATATGTACGTATAAAAAATACAGATTTATTATATCAATATACAATATAAAGACGCCATGACTTTGCGAATTTTCTATTCGTATTGCCGATAAATATCACATAGATAGTGAATTTATCTAATTATTACCCAAAATTGGACAAGCAATTTCAAATACCTTGGTTACCTTACTTAAAAGTACATGTCCGAAATATAACATTTTAAGTGCTTTTAATATATTTTTGAAATAAATCTTCAATATTACTCTAGTTAGTGAATTAATGAATATATCGATATAAATACCTAATAGACATGTATAATTATTAGGATTCTATTAATAGAATCATTGATAACAGATCCGCGTTAGAATTTTCGCTATGTTGCCGCGCTGACCTCGTAACGTAATTACGTACATAACGAGTATATACATAACGAGTATTAATAATGCACAAGAAATAATTAAGGTCGTTTTTACAGCTCAATTTACGTCTTGTTTGCTGAAAATACGGGAATTAGAAAATACTAGTTACAAAGTCGAAATTTTATAACTTTACCACCTCCAATATGCCATTGTTAATTCATACCGTATAAGTAGTGGTCGGACAATCAGATGCTTATTTACCTTTAATTCAGTAGCTCGCTAACATGGAATGCGCTTTGATTGACGAATTGATTAAGCATAAAATTGATAGAAAATAAACACCTAAAATGTTATTAGTAATTTTATGTAATATTTGATTAATTTTTATCACATGTAGTTGAAAAATGTTAAATATTAATATAATATAATCGAATATTAAGAAAAAAAAATGTATTTTTAAATATTCTTTCACTGAAACCATCGGACCATTGTTTAAAATTAAATTTGACATTTCCAGCAATTCGCAGCATTGAGAAGAACAATAAGGTTTCATTGTTACTTTCTTTCGCTGTTAGAGAGGGGTATTGCTTTTCAGCATTCATAAATGTACATAACTTAGAAATTGAAGTCATTTGTGTACAATCAACGGCATATCAAGCTATACACTTTTGTTCGAATAACAATGACAGATATAAACAAGATCTGTCAAAGGTTGATGTGCTGCCGTCTGTAAAATGTTGTTAAGATAAAGATAAAAACAACTATCCTCATATCAATTAAGAATTGATTAATACTCTTAAAACTAATAAATATTCTAAAAGATCATTACAATTTATATTCAAAAGGAGCTACACAGAACTGTGGTAATCTAACACAGAACTACACAGGAAAAAACAATGGTGACACTCTTCTGCTTCTAATTAAAACCAAGGCTTTTTTTGCAATTTGATTGAAAGAAAACAACTGAACATGTACCGTACATAATAACCGTACCGTACTAAATAAGGCTGATTGTTATCCAATTATAGTTTATATGTTTTGCACACTTTGACCAATGTAAGTGCTATATTTATACTAACAAAGTCGTACAGGTGGCGCCACGGATAAGTTTTAAATATTCTATTATACTAAGTCCAAATAACTAACTTTTTTTTTTCATTGTATAACTGTCTCCGTAGCTGAACGGTTACCATTCTGGACGCCACGCAGAGGTTCCGGGTTCGATTCCCGGAGCGAGAGAAATATTTATATGACCTACATTTATTTCTCTCGTGAGAGAGGATGCAATTTGTAGTTGTCTATGGGTTTCCCTAGTGCAGGGCTGTGTCCAAAAAACGAGTACCGATTTATCAATACGATAGATTATCAATATGAGCCTGACGCTTACTTTATCTACTTTCATTACAGATTAACCGAAGACAGATTCCGTTGTAAAATTTTAAAACCCCTTTAAATTGCGCATCATGTAGGTACCTTAATGTATTGTCCTTACAATTTGTTGTCAGAAAAACAATAGTTTTGGAAATAAATTTGTATCACACAGTGTACTTTTATAATATGCTTTTTTTACCAAATGGAAATTAATTATCGCTGTCTACATCACATTTAAGACATGAGGAAAGTTTTAGTTGAATTTCCATCACGTCGCAAAAGCATTGCCGGTCATGGTATATAAAATCACATGTGAAATGGTAGTAAAGTAAGTACCTACTAGTATAATAAGAACTATATAATAATAATAACGCACACACTCAACATAGCCCCGCAGTAGGGGAGCCCTGTGTCGCGGGTGCCATGGACACACACCAATAACACCCAAATTCACGAGAGAAATAAATGTAAACCATACAAATATTTTTCCCGGCCCGGGAAGAGTTATAATACAACTATGGTGAGTAAATAATAAGGACAGAGCCGGCTCTACCTTCAGTGCAGGGTGTGAGGCGCACATGGGCAGCCTTAAGGGGTGCCGAGCGCATGCAACGGGCTATGGCTTCCCAACAACATTTATAATTCCGATCACTGGGGAAAATATGACTGGAAGTATTCCATTCTGATCGCGGCCTACTTGAGAGCGCCAGGGCATGGTTAGCGCCGACAGTGGATATGTAGATGGTAGAGGACGGGCTGTGAGTGTCACCTGTGAGAGACAAGGGCGTTGATATGTACCCAGGTGGAGTCTGTATGGACAAAGAATCCTACAAGAAGTCATGTTTTTTCTTTGCTAGTATCATTGACGTATTAAATACGATCCATATGGATGTATCGATACCAATAGATAGTATAAATGGTAAACTGATAATACTCAGATAATATATTGATGTAAGTAAAGCAGATAATGGTCAGTAGAAAAGAAAATGTCCCAAAGATTCACGAATGGACAATAAATAATTTACAAAGTTTGTGTTTACATCAAATTGGAGAAACACGAATATACGAAGAAACTAATTGGTGAGTGAAGGCTTATTTCTGCCGCCCGCTAACTAAATTTTTTTTTTGAGATGTCATAAAAAAACAATAACCCAGTTTTGAATATTGGAATTGTTTAATAATATTTCAGCTATGCATCGATAGGTTAAGTTCCGATAACTAGAACACGTTAACTAATTTTAACTGTTTTTAAAAGAAAATTTTGTGCTCTATCTTTTGCTATATAAAATGTAAAATGTTTGACCATTTGTCACTTAGCTGTATTTTAGTTAGTGGACGGCAGATTTACATTCTTTACAATCTAGGGGCGTTGGGTATAGCGGAGGAATTCGTGCGAGACATAGTGCATACTGGATGCAGTGTTTACTGTAGCATTTTTTTTTCAAACTTTTTGGGCTCTTTACAGGCCCCAGTTATCTGTGATCAAGGGAGCTGCAAAAAGCCCGAAACTTAAGTTTGTTTACAAAATATACGCGATTAAGATTCAAGTAAAGTTAATTTTAGATATAATTAAATATATTATCCACCGCAAAAATAGTTATCTAGTTGCTCAATTAGATTATGCATTGGCATGTACATATAATCATATTTGTTATAACAATTATATAGGTAAAGTTGATAATAGATATCAAGAATAATCCAGCAATTCCTTGAAATGTCTATAATAGCTACCGACAATTTAAGTAGATAGAGCTTTAAATCGCAAAGTTCTTGGAGGCACTGCCACTGCGCCCGTCACCCTGAGACATAAGTTGACAAGTCCCATGTGCCTGTAATTTCACCAGCACCCTCACCCTTCGAAACCGGAACACGGTAAGGGCGCATTTATTTGACACGAATTTCGAAAAATAGGACGCGACGCGACGCTTCGACTCTGCGCCAGTGTGAATTGAGCCTAACTGTCATGGCAAAATACGCTCTATTTACTTAGCTTTTCAGAAAGTTTGTATTATTCAGAGGAATTTAAATAGAAATCTTTCGCCTCGTGTAATTGGGCGCTTATGTTGATGTTACTTATTTGCAATTATATTACACAACTGCAATGCCATTCAGAGCTTTAAATAGTACTGCCACTGCGCCCGTTACCCCTGAGACAAGTTGACAACCTCCATGTGCCTGTAATTTCAAAATCGGAACTCAGTAATACATTACTGCTTGGCTGCAGAAATAGGTAAGGTGGCAGTTTTCCCTGGACGATCTCTTTCATATTTCGCTCTACTCCTACTAATCTACCTAAAGATTGTTTTAGTTTTATTAGTATGGACATACCCGTTGCTTCGTCAATGCATAGTATATCCTTTTTTTCTGTTTAGTTTTTAAACATCTCAAAATATATGTGTGTGTGAGTGGCCGAACGGTTACCATGCCGAACTGCCACGCAGAGGTCCCAGGTTCGAATCCCGGGTCGAGAGAAATATTTGTATAGCCTACATTTATTTGTCTCGTGAGTTTGGGTGTAATTTGTGCTTGTCGATGTGTGTGTCCATGGCACCCGCGACACAGGTTTTCCCTAGTGTTGACTGCTCGACGCTCGGCCGAAGAGTCGCCGAGGTATAGTTTTCTGAAAAATGACAGTGCGTACTCTGTACATCGCAACTTGTAATATAATCATAATTAAATATTTACAGCGAGCGTTCAGTTTGAAAATTTGTCCAGAACAACCGCGATGTTCATTTGACGACGTTCTATGTTTTTATACAGTTCTAAATATAAAATAATATAATCTAACCAGCCTGCGCTACAGTACCTACTTACGAGTAATGTTTGTTAACTGTAGTGGTCTATGAAGAGAAATAAAAAGTACTGCACTGGAGTTCTTGAACTTACCTGTATGTGAACTCTTAGTCCGCAGAAGGACAGCTTACACCAACATAGTGAAGAATTGTAATCTCCAGGGGCTTATATTGTAGTTACAAATTATACAATAGTTTTTGATAATTCATCCAGTATTTTTCGAGTTGCGCAACATACTTTGATTAGCAGGTTTGCCAATATGTATGGCTAGAGAACAATTATCCGAATTTCCGACAAAATGTTATTTTTTCAACATCAAATTTAAACGTTGTGTAAATAAAATAAAGTTCATTTTTATAACAAAGAGAT